GGACAGGAGATGTGATGAGGGAAGCAGAAGGTGGAGGGATGTGACTGTCAACTTTGCAGATGGAAGGGGCCATGAGCCAATGACTACAGGCCACCTCTGGAAGCTGGAAAAGGCAAGGAAACGGATTCTCTCCTAGAGTCTATCACAAGTGCACCCTGCCAGTCCTCCAGAGTAAGATAACAATTGTGTATTGTTTTAGGCCACTAAGTTCTTGGTGACTATTACAGCAGCACTGGGAAACTGACACAGAAATAAGGACACTGGCCTTGAGAGTACATATCTGTGATGTGGTGGATCATATGGACCATTCAGAGTGAAGAATGGAGAGGAACATGGCACTTTGGGAAGGCTGGTCTGCAGCACAGAATGTATGGAAACCAAAGATCAGAAGCGGTTAAAGCAATGCCAATACAAAGAAGTACCTCTCTGCACCAGCAGTGCAATTGCAGATATGTGGAAGAATAAAGCAAAAGGCTGAGGAACATTCTGGATACAGCAGGTAAGAGGAAGGGAGCTGCGTGGTTCTAAACCTTCTGTCTCCATGTGTCAGGTTGGGTAGGATGGGGAAAGCTGTGTCTCACTGATCCTTTAAAGCAAAACCTACAACAGGAATTCTCAACCTTCCTCTGGGGCTGCTTAACACACAGCCTGCAGGCCCTCACAGTCAGACTCATCAAGGAGGGAGGTGCCAGGAACTGCATGTAACAGATCCAAAGTTCACATTTTGAAAATTCCAATCCAGACAAACTAGAAGAAAACGGAGTCAAAAACTCATCATAGCTGCAGAAGAAATGGTAATTCCTAGGTAAAATCTCAGGGTAAAAACTGACACTAGACAATATAAAAATATAAAACTTTTATCAATTAAAATAACTATCACAGATGCTGCAGTGGCTCAAGCAGTAACAGCATCTGCCTAGCAAGAATGAGGTCCCAAGTTCAAGTCTCAACGCCACTAAAAAATAAAAATAACTACCATAATCAAAAATTTTAAATCCTTGGTAAAAGAAATACTTTCAGCAAATGACTAGTATTTAATAGGCTGCACAAACTAATAAGCAAAACCAGTAAATAAAGAGGAAGCACATAAAAAGACAATTCCAAAAAGAGGCACTATGACAACTAAAAAAATTTAAGCACCAGTTAAAACAACAAGGCAACACCATGCTCAGTACAGAAACAAATACAATTTTTCTAACATTCAAAACTAGTGAGATGCTGTGGGCTTTTGTGCTTGCTGCCCCAAACATTTTGGAAAGAGATTTGGAAATGTGTAGCAGGAGATATGAAATTATCCATACCCTGGGCAGAGAAATGCTTCTTGTGGCAATCCTGCCTAAGAAAATAGTCTTGAATATGGAGAGAAAATGCATGATGTACACAATCTCATTTATCCATACACCAACCCACGAAGCTAGCCCTGTATGACACACGACACACGAGGAACCCGAGGTGCAGACGAAGAGCGTAACTTACTCCATGAACTCAAACCAAGTAAAATGAAGCAGCCTCAGGAACATTCTGCCTCCACAGCCTATGTGGCCACCTCCTGTGTGGCCACCTTCTACACCACAGTCACCACCACACAGGGAACTTGGTTAGCCCGGCAGGATTTGTTTTATTTAAAAATCCAAGAAAATCAAAGAGAGGAAACAGCAATCGTATGAAAAGAGAAGAAGCTGCATTAGGACACAAAGGGGACAGTGGGCTTTCCCCAGCCCGTGAACTTTCGTAAGATTCAGCTTTACAAGTCCAGCCTCACATATGAAATCCTACCTACTTAGGAGGCAGAGATCAAGGTTTGAAGCCAGCCCAGGCAAACAATTCACAAAACCTGTCTTGAAAATACCCAACACATAAAAGGGCTGGTGGAGTGGCTCAAGTGGTAGAGCACCTGCCTAGCAAGTGTGAGGCCCTGAGTTCAAACCCCAGTACCACCAGAAAAATAAAAACAAAACAACTCTGAAGAATGTTTTTAAAAAAGAAGAAAAGGATTTATCTTTAGCTTTACAGTCTAAAAGCAAATTGAGGTAAGGAAAACAATACATACGCAAGAAATCTTTCCAAAAGACAAAGATAGCTTAAGAAATATATAAATGATACTTAAATATTATCAATTACAAAAGTTCAGGAGAAGCAATAATCATTCAGGACTTTCAGACAGGGAATGGTTTTAGTTCAGGCCTCAAAATTAGCAATAACTGGGGCTGAGAGGAGAGACAATACAGGTGATCTAACCAATGCACTATGAATCCCTCCCACACCCTGTACAACAAATACATCCTAATAAAAATAAAATTAGCAATGACCATCAGCAAGGAGGCTTTTTGCGCATCCACGGTGTACAGAGAAGGGCTAGGCATCAAAGCCACCAAGCATTGGCCAACAGCTCATACATACAGATTGTGGAGGGGGGCTGGGCTAGAACTCAGGGCTTCCCGATTGCAAAGCAGGCACTCTACAGCTTGAGCGACACCTCCACTCTATTTTGTTCTGGTTGTTTTGGAGATGGGGGTCTCACAAACTTTTTGCCTAGGTTAGCCTCAAACCTCAATTCTTCAGATTTCAACCTCACCAGCAGCTAAGATCACAGGTGGAGCCACTGGCTCCCTGCTTCATATATTTTTTTAGAGTGAAGCTGGGGCCTTTGGCTAAACACTTTTAGCAAGAGAGAAATGTAATGTAGAATGTAAAGACAAGGAAAATCAGGACAGTTAACAGAGCAAACTGCATATACTGCAAAAACAGTCAAATATTTCACGAAAGTTCAATGACAACAGATGGAACTACGTTTAAAGGAAATCACTTCGTGGAAAGTGAGGTTGAGAGAAGGATGCTAAGGCCCAGGTGGGAGGGCAGTAACAGTCAGAGGTACTCGTGCACAGCCTCCTGATGACGTTTTCCCACTGCAGCCCTCAACAGTCAAGGTCGTAGAATATGCTTACTTTCATATCCTACCATCACTTATCTCTAGCTGCCTTTTACAGTTACCTTTTGCCAAATCTATTGCAATCCGATGGGGCAAGTAAAGGAGAATCCAACAGCACCACCCTCTACAGAGGGTAGACAGCGCTAGACACCACATCCCAACCAAAACTCCATCCCAAAAGGTGTTTATTCCTGTAGGGATGTCTCAAATACTTTAACAAGGCTCCAAACATATGCTAAATTAAGAGATTCAGAATTTTCACTCTGTTAACTCTGGTAGCCTCTTGTATAAGACTGGCTAAATTTATTAATAGAATGGCAGAAATGTAAAAAAAAAAAACCAGCAAGTCCTAGAAAATCCAGGAATTTTCTGACAGTGAAGAGCTAAGAATGTCTGATTACTGAGAGAAGGGAAGAGGATGAGCAAGCCCCTATGAGCGCCTCCTACTCAGGCCAGCCTAACTGGCAGTCTCCCCACTGTGCCTCTTGTGGCCTTGGTTCCCCGGTATCTGGAAAGTACAGCTAGGTGCTGACCTTGGAGGTCAGGAAGGGATCTGCAAATAGGCTGCCAGGTCCAGACTGGTTAGCAGAAGCTGGGTGGGTGTGGCAGAGACTATTCTAAATCTCCCTGTGGGACTTGGCTCAGCAGGTAACCTGCAGAAACTTCTCTAGAACATGTTTCTTCCAAAAATCAACAAAACAAAAACAGAATTCAATGAGAAGGAGGGAAGATCCAGGTTCTGGTTGTTTCTCTGAAGCCCTTGGGGTTGGTGCCTTTGTAAAGTCTGATAGCAACACCTGGTCTACATCTGTAGTCACCAAACTGGGGAGTAAACTTGGACTTGACAAAATTCAAACTGGAGAGTTAAATGTGAATTATCCCTTGTCAGCCTAGCACAAGTGTACAGATGACAAAGCTCCCCTTGAAAGGAAACAGGGAAATAAGTCACTAGTTTCTCAATATGTCCTATTCAAGTTTATTCTCGATTCTCTGTTCTCCTGATTAAACAGCAGGAAAATTTAACTTTAAAAAATGCTAAAGAAGTTTCCATCCAATGTTAGCACACTATCACAATACTTATGCCTGACATTTCCCAGAAAACTTAAGAGGCCATCAGTGAAACTGAAAGACTGTGCCTTACTTAGCATACTTCATACACTTAGCATCCAGCTGTCTGTGTCTTAGTAAATTTACCTAAAAAAGTAAATATATATAAATAAATATATAGAAAAGTCATCGAAATGTACTGACTCACTCATACATGGTCATTTTCTGGGCAATTTCCTCAGGTATTTTCTAGTTATTAAGACAATTTCAGCATCCCAATGGTAACTTATAACCTGCAAATTTTAAATTGGGGTAGGAAATAAAGCATTCACTTTTCTATTCATTACTGGCCATCTCCCCCAAAGCTTAGTTAGTCCTTTTGCAGCTCTTCTTATCAGTGTTGTAAAAAGGCTTTAGCAATTCAGAAGAGGGCTACAAGCTAGGAACCTCTTTTATATGTGCTCCCCAATCCTTACTCACATGCATACATGTACATAATCTTAAATACACATCTGCATGTATGTAATCTTTTTTCTTGTTGGTGCAGCTGGGGTTTGAACTTGGGGCATCACATTTGGAAAGCAGGCAGTATATATGTACAGAATCTTAAACACGTGTACATGTATACGTGTACACCCTTTCCAGGAACATGTGTGTACTGAGGCTAATAAATTTCTTACTGTAAGATGATCGTGCATGTTTTCTTTTTCCTTTTGGTAAAGGACACTAACCACATTCCACGATAAAACAGGGTCTGGACCTTCTTCTGAACCTGTGACACCTCACACGACACACTGAAGTCTGCAGCCTCAGGTCTGCATACATAAGCAGCCTTATCAGCAAGCCCATCTGCTCAGAAAGCATGCTTTTAGTAGACTGGATAATATTCTTTAAACAGCAATTTTTGTCATAATAAAAAGACATATCACACAAAAAATATTTATGCTCTTAGAACCACGGAAAAGAGTCTTACATACCATCTGCCATATAGAGAAAAGGGAAAAAAAACAAAAACCAGGGTTACCTTTTTGTGCAAGGCATGAAATTCGCTGTACCTCTTCTCAACAAAGTGTTTTCTTCCATTCATTAGCACTTCTATCTTAAACACCTAAGGAAAAAATTAAAGAGATTAATTCTACTAGCTCAAAACCCTCAGTGGCCTGATGTGGTAACTTTGTGACCGTGATATATTTCATCCCTTTAATTACAGTAGCTGGTTCTCCCCAAACCCAGAAGGCTCAGGAGACCCTGGCCCAGCATCACTGATTAATGAGTCCTCCAACCAAGTGCTCACTAACAAACGAGTGTTCTCCAAGAGCATCTGCAAGCAAGGGAAACCAAGTGCACTAACGGCTCCTGGACTCGTTATCCAGAGAATACTCTTCCCTTAAAATGATTTCATCAAATGAGTATGGCGATGCTGAGCTGGCTGTGCCGCAACAGGGTCCGCGAGGAGTCGTGCACGCAGTGGTGCATTTTAGGTTAATTTCTCCCTAACCTGCATATTCATCTCCAGGCTCAGCCGGACTTATTTGGCAGTTTGGAAAATCGGGGAAACTTAGTACAGGCTCGTTTTCCCTGCTCGATGTGACTGACAGCTTGCGCTCCAACTGCCAGAAGGCTGAAAGGCCAGATGAGAGGGCTCTTGGGTGCACTAATTAATAGGCACTCACATGACATTTTCTTGATTCTTGGGTCACTGGGTCAAGACTAAGAACAAGGGATGAGAAATACTGTGAAATGCTCATGAAAATACAATGTTCAGATTGGCGGGGTGGAGCAGGAACCAAAGAGCGGGTGCTCTGTCATTCCAAGCTTTTGTATCTGACCCTTGTTTTGATGAGAGTTTGTAAACAGCAAGATGAAAGAAAAATTGTTCAATTACTTGGAAAACCTCATTTCCTGGGTTTTGGGGAGTGGTTGCTTGCTTACTTTTCTCTCTATTGTTTTTTTGAGGCAGGATCTTGCTAGTCTTGTCCAAACTAACCTGGAATTCACTATGTAGGTCAGGCTGATCTTAAATTTATAATCCACCTGCCTCAGCTTCCCAAGTGCTAGGATTAGACATGTGCCACACTGTCTGGCTAATTTCCTGTTCTAATTGCCCTCTTGGAGAAAAACAAAACTAACTGATTTTGAAGTCACATGACACCACAGAGTACAGGAAACATGCTTACTTTAAGCCTAAAAATAAGTAGTCAAATTTAATAGAACAGATTCCTATGGCTCGATATTTGTCTTATATGTAAATATGATTATTGTGGAAGGCCAGAAATTGTCATCAAATATAAAATCTGTTTACACTGTTATACTTTAAATCAGAAACAAAATCTTCCACTGATGATTAGCTTAGGTAACCTATTTTTAAATAAGTGGGAAAAATTTACCAACTTTAATCTATATTTTTATTAACATTTTGTTTCTTTATGAAATCTTCCTAAATAAATACTTTCCCTTGGTGAATCAGGAAGATATTTTCTTCTAAAAACATGCATATGGGGTTGGAGGCATGGTTTAAGCAGTAGAGCACCTGCCTAGCAAGCACGAGGCCCTGAGTTCAAACTCCAGTACCACCAAAAATAAATAAAAAAGGTGACCTCATATTGAAAGAACCATGCATATACTTCAAACTCTCAGATACGCATCCATTTTTTTTTGAAAAATTGTTTACTAACTAACCAAAGAAATTTCTTCGAAGATCCCACAGAAGTAGAAAGAGGAAAACACCCCGAGAATCACACAAGGACAAAGCAGCTTTACCTGGGCCTTGAGCGCTAATGGGCTGCAGAACCCCCTCTCAGTGTCAAGTGTGACTGAAACCAGGACAACCTGGCACCAGTCAAGGTCGTTTTCATCCACTGAGCTCAGTGAAAGAAGGAAGTTTGGGTGCAGTCACGGAGGTTGCATCACTACAGCTGTCACTTTGATTGGCAGGCTTGCCACAGAATCCCTAGGGCAAAGAGAAGGTTTAACTGTGCTGCCCTTCACAGCTCACAGTGACTGCCTCAGGGGACATCACCCCTTCTCCTGACCAAACTGTTACATCACTAACTTCCACAGTTAATTTTTCATAGCACTAAATTCACAGTGGGAGGGAGAAGGGTGAAGGATGCAACAGACATAAGGAATGTTTGTGGTAAACTTTAATATTTTATTATGTCACCATTAAAACATACACAATACTGGGGTTTTTTTCCCCCACCCTGGGGATCAAGCCCAGGGTATGCATGCTAGGCAAGCACTAACCACTGAGCAACATCATAACCTTTGTGTTTTTGAGACAGGGTATGACTATGTAGTTTGGGCTGACCATGAATTCAAGATCCTCTTGAGTACCGAGATGATAGGTGTGTACCACCTAACCGTGCTTTTTTCCTCTAAATTCTGGGAAAAGATCTTGGAAAGGAAGTAGGTTAACCATGATTTCTGTGGCAAAGTGGAGCAAGAAATGGAGTCAATTTAATAAACCCTGATTTTCTGACTATGACAAGACCTTGTTCAGTTTTCCAGTTTTCTGCCATCTATTGTCCCTGTCACCTAAAGATTCTTTTCCTGCTCTGTTCTCCTGACAAACTCCTAGTGTAGATACTTACTGAAAAGATGGAGACATAACAGGACAGAGTCTAGAAGGCACCCAGCACAATATCTGGCATTTTATTGAACAGATACTCGCTGAGGGCATACAATGTGCCTGGGAGCTGTCCTGGGCTCAGGAGCCAGCATGGAACCACGCAGACAAGCACCAGCTTTCATGGAGCTTACACCCATGCAGTGAGAAAGGCCGACGACACTCAGGTGAACACACATCGCGATGTGCAGACATTACCAGGCTCTGACACACATCACAGCCAGTCAGAGACGGCAAGACAAGTGCAGTTCAGACAGTGTTGGAGGCCAGCCTGGGAAAAAGTGAGACTGTCTCTCAAAACACCCAACACAACACAGGGCTGGTGAAAAGGCTCAAGTGGTAGAGTGCCTGTGCAGCAAATGTGAGGTCCTTTCCTCACTGGAAAAAAACCTCAGCTCCCGGTCCTTTCTTCTACCTAAGCCAGCAGCAGCAGCTCCAGACCCCAGGTTGCATTTCTCCAGCCCAAGCTTCCACCCTCATCTTCTTCTAAGGACCTCCTGTGACCTTGGAACATGCAGATAATCCTGTTAATCTTCCTTATCCAGTGTCTTAACTTCTAGCACGTCTACAAAGTCCATTCTGCCAGTTAGGTGATATGGTCATGGGTTCTGGGAATTAGGTGTGGGCATTGCTGAGAGGAGGGGTGGCCAGGCAGATGAAAAAGAAAATGGCTGGCATGTTTATGTGCCCAGAGTTAATGGTGATGTGGATGTGAGGGAAAGGGATAGGGAAAGGAAAGAGGAGGGGAAGGCTGGCAGTGCCATTAAAAGTGCACCTGTCAGCTTGAGGAGGCAAATGTGAGTGCAGAACTGGCCAGGTCACGTTTAGGGTACACACAAGGCATGCAGCAGAGACATGGAACAGTGCTGGATTTACAAGTGTAGGGATGGAGGTGGGGTCCTTAGCCCAGGGATCAAATTGGGAGTCATCAGAGTGTGGCTATAAATTAAACCCAGACGACTACCTCTCAGAGCTCACATCAGGGTTAGGCTTTCCTGTTTCATCACAGAGAGGCCTTTGCTCCATTTCACAAGTCTTCCTCTTCCACATTAGACTTCTCTAGCTTCAGATGTCCTTCTTGTCCAAATGACAAGAGTCTGTCAACATTCTAAAATGTTGAATTCAGGACTCAACCAAATCCCAGCATTCCCCAACTAATGAGTGGATGGTGTCTCCCCAAATAAATTTCTCAGGTAGTTTAAAACTCAGCACAAATTCTTCCATATCATCAGAATAAAGGATAATTAGTTTTAATGCCATCCTAGGAGGAAAAAGCCTATTTAACCCTAATTATGTATTAATTACAATCATTATATTTTGTCTCCCTTGAGATTTGCAGAATAGCATCATGGTTAATGCTAGTTCTTAAATCAACCTCCCTAGGTTGGAATCTCGTGTCCTGCCTCTAGCCTCTGGGCTCTGCTGACACACGATGATAACACTCAGCCCTCAGCCTCCTCACCCAGGCCCCACAGCTTATGATGGCACCATCACCACATGGGGCTCCTGGGAGGATGAAATGATTCCCCACAGAGATCAATTACCACGTTGCTTGGCTTTTAGGAAGAGCCCAAGACATGCTACCTATGCATGGCATTATTAACTTTGAAGGGCTGTTACCACTGCTGCTTTGCAGCAAGGCTACTGATACATGGAGGAGAAAGAGATATCCCCCAGCCCTGGCGTGAGTAGTCCACTGACCACATCCACTACCTCCACATCAGGGAAATGTCTTCCCTCACTACCACTAGCAGTGCTGACCTGCACATCACCTGTGCAGGGCTGCTGCACTCGCCTCTTAGTGCCTGTTCAAACCCTCAACTACTGGCGGAGACTGACCAGCACCCAGTCAAAGGGGAACACTGACTTCCCTTGAACTTGGCTTAGAATTCAGTATCTGCAACCTGTATTTGCCTAAATGTTTTTGGAACTATACCTCATTGTGGCTTGTGAAGCTCTGGAGGTCAAACAAGAGTTCTCAACAGGTGATTTTCAGACCCGAGGTCAATCTCTCTGAAAGTAGACTGTTAAATATTACGACGTTACAGACCAGGCATGGTGGCTCATGTCTGTAATCCCAGCTACTTGGAGCACAGCTTGAGGCCAACCTGGGCAAAGATGCAAGCCCCTACCTGGGTGGAGGTAGGGGTATGTCAAAAAAGCCTGGGGGCGTGGCTCAAGTGATAGAGCACCTGCCTAGCAGGCACAAGACCTGGAGTTCAAGCACTAGTATCCCCCCACAAAAATATATACAGACAGACAGACAGATAGATATTACATTACTAATGCCTTCAACAGCAACCTGGCAACAGGGCAGGCTGAGCCCATGAGAAACTAAGGTAAGGGAATGAAAAGGTGAGCAGGAGTCAACAGCAAGTGCTACTGCCTGGATCTCAAAACGTCTCCCAAAGGCCCATGTGTTAAAGGCTTAGCTTCCAGCATGGTGCTACTGTGAGGTGGGGAAGCTTTAAGAGGTGGCCAGGAGAGGTCTTCTGGTCACTGGGACCTGGGAACCTGGGCCCTCTCCTGTCGCTCTGCCTCCTGCTCCTTTCCATGATGTGCTGTCTCAATACAGGCCCAAGAGCCACAGGTCTGCCTGACCACGGACTGAGGCCTTCCAAACCATGAACCAAAACAAACCTTTCCTCTCGTGAGTTTTTATCTCAGGTATTTTGTTATAATAACAGAAAGCTGACTTATACAGGACAATAAATTGGGAAGATCAAAATAACAGCTCTGTCCAGCTCAGCAATCTGACAGTGAAATGGTAAGATGAGCTGCTTTTGTTAAAGACAAAGAGCAGTAAGTTGGACATGATAGAGGCAGACTGTGTGTTCTAAGATGGTTTCTGGTAGAGTCCGTGGTCAGTGGTAAAAAAAAAAAACAGTGCTCCTGAGTGCCTGGGCATGAAAACAGCTGTGAAAAAAGGGTCTCTGTTAAAAACAAACTGCAGTCGTAATAGCATTGTTGGTGGCAGGTGAGGACACAGCAGAGGAGCAGTGTAGACTCAGACACCCCACAGACCCACCACTTCCCAGCCAGGCTTCCTCCCAGGCACTGCGTGTCCACTTTGACCTCACCTGCCCTCCTCATAAGGACAATGGATGAAAACCCCTCTTTCTCAGGGCTGGTGCTGGGAGGAGACAGGTAAGACAAGGTAGAAACAGCACTCAGCACTCAGTACCTAGCCTGGCATAGCTTGTGCTCAACACACTCCCTATCTTCCTGAGCATTATCAGGCTTCTCATGAATCTAAATGGAATCTGGTTATAAGAAGCTTTCATTTCCAACACATCGAGAAGTATGATGTGCTGTGTCTGTTTCTAAAAATATTCTCACTAAAACCAGGGCAGTTCCAAAGAACACACACACACACACAAATGTGGATTTTTTTTTGAAAATGTAAGCTTGGGAGACTGAGAATTCCTTGTTTCATTCACTGTTCCTCTCTCTAGGCACGGAGGAAATGACTTCCAATACGCTCTGGTATTCTCTGAAGGCTGAGTTCAGTTTTCCCTGGAGCCTAGAAAGGGAAGGCTCCTTTTTTGTTTTTATATTGTGCTGGGTGGGGGGTTGTATTGTGGCATTTACAAAAATTCTTACAATTTATCAAATATAGCATATTGAATTTACTCCCTCCACCATTCTCTTTCATAACCCCTCCCCCCATTCCTGCAATAGTTTCAACAGGTCTCATTTTTGCATTTACATACATGTGTACACAGTATTTGTACCATATTCACCCTCCCCCACCCTTTCCCCACCTCCTCCCCCACAAGACCTGTTTCACCTTCCAGTTTTCCGATTTTGTGTAAGAAAAGAAGGAAAAAAATGACATTTTTGGTTGTTTAAGATAGCTATACAGGGAGTTTTCCTTGTGGCACTTCCATATTTATAAGTATTATAGGCAGATTTGGTTCATCTCTATTTTTCTTCTTTCTACCTTAGTCCCCTTCTTATGGTAGTTTCAACAGGTTTAAAAATTCTTTATTCATTCTTGTACAGGAAGTACATCAACCATATTCACCTTCTTAACTTCCTTCTTTTACCTTCTCCCTCTCATGTGTGACCTCCCTTAGCGTGACCTGGTTTTCATAGGATTGTTAGATTTGTATTAAGCCTATATTCCACATATGGGGAAGGCTACTTGCAAACAGGCTGTATGCAACAAGACTGCCAGCTCCCAGGCTCTACTGCTTAGGTGCTAGGGGAAGAATGCAGGCCACTGAGAAACTCCTACAATCCGGGCTCTCCTCCCACACAGGGGAAAGAGCCTTCTCTGCTCCACTGACAGGTGTTAGAAAGCATGCCCTCTTACAAGA